CATGTGATAGCAGTAAGATTTCTCTTCCAACAGCAGCAGTGCTCTGCTGACTTTTAGCACTTTTGGATCAGCATCACTGCCTCTCTCGCCCCACACCTTCCTACTCCTTCCTCCCACGGCATTATCCTCAAGGTCCAAGCTTTCTCATGCACCATACTTTTCACCACTATTTTAGCCCTCTGCTCACTCTTGGGCTGCGCTCTACAATCATGCAGATAGCACTGTGCACTCACGCATGCACCCACATCCTGCGACCTGCCCTCTGCCTATCGCCTTCAAGAGCGAGATCTCACAAGACAGACGTGAACATACAACACTGAACTTGCAAGCACATTCCAGGGCTCAAAAGTCAAGCTTGTCATGCCAGCAAAATTTCTCAATACAAAGACACACATTTGCATCGATGACTATGTACATAAAGTGCACAAAGGGTTTGGATGGGTCTAGGTATCTACTTCCTCCCTTCACCTACACACCGGGCCAAGGGCTTTTCAACAGGACGGTATCAGCAGTGTTTCCTGGTGGTTCCATTCCAAAAATGTTTGCTAGTATGACTGGGTGGCCTTCTGCAAAGATCCAGGATATCTAGAAATGCAAGGCTACTCGCTTGAGTGAGAAATCTTGTTTACTAGACAGTTTACTACAATTAACAGAATTTGGACTTTGTATCTCATCCTGAGACATCAAATGACCCCCTGCTTTGCTTACTGGGACCTCTCTTTGCTTACTGGGTATTGAGAAAGGAGCCATCTTCCTCAGAATGGCAGAGCCCCACATGGAAGTACGTTTGGAAGACAAAGGAAGGTGACAGCTCGTTGTGTCAGGATCAGCTATTTCTCACTATTAAGCACTTTCCATATTCTACACAGAGATAAAAAGCGAGATACTAAGGACAAAGTAGCAAGCAGGAAGAGGTAAGATGACGCTCTAGATGCCCAACAGATCTGAGGAAAAAAAACACTCTTACTAAAGGAATGCTGCACAGTATTAATGTCATCAAACATACTAATGTCTGAAAAAATGCAAATACCACTTGCCTCTCTTAAGAGTTTGCATAAACTAAAACAATTTCCTCTATTCCACCTCCCCAGTTTCGCAACGTCTTTTTTATTTCCTCTCTAAGCCAAAATGGTGAGACAGTTCAATCACTTCTCGTGCTGTATCCCTGCACCCTGTCTGGAAGCAGAAGAGGATGAGGGCTTTGGATGAGAGCTGCAGCACAGCATGGGCAGCTGCAAAGACACATGGGGCTGCACAGAGGCAGGTAACTGCTGTCTAAGTCTCCCTCTCAATTCGCCCTCAATTTTGACAGTGCTGCTGGGGAGCCACAGGACGCAGGTCTTGGACTAACACAACCACCACATCAGTATGACATTTCCCTGGTCAGTAAAATGATGAGCAATAGGTTTACAGGCTGACTCAAAAGCACTGCTTGGATTTGAATGGGTATGCCAAAAATCCGTTTTTGCCTGGACATGAGACTGAAGAGCTCCACAGAGCACACAGAATTTGAGTAGAGCCTGAGCCGGTGAGTCTCCAACACCCACAAATAACTTGTTAACACCTTAGGATGTACATTCAATTGAAAACATCCATGAAACTCAGCTTGGACAGCTTAGCCCACCACATACAGAGGCACAGCTGAGAACACACATGAAAGTGAATGAAATTATATTTTAATACTTCTTAATTTCTTCTCAGCATCTGTCACTCCCTGGCTCCCCCAGAGACCCCTTCAAGGACCTGACTGCTGCACCTGTCCCATCTACCATGAGGCCCTGGGTGCCTGCGGGGCTCCTAGGTGCCTTCTGGAAGGCTGTCCACCCTCCTAGAGGCAGTCCCCGCTTCCCACTGCCTGGCAAGCACTGCAAGAGAGCCAGCTCTCGCCCCTTCTCTGCGAGCACTTTTAGCAGGGCCTTCACTTAGTGCAGAAGCCATATCCAGAGTGCCTCTTCTCCCCTCTCCTTTGCTCTAATGCCCTGGTCATCTACATTTTGGTGACTTCTCCAAGTGGAAGTGGCATGAGGAAATCCCAACCCCTCGCCCCCACCAAGAGGGCTGTGGACACTTCCTCAGGGAGCCCACATAAGCAAAGCGGAAAGGCAAGAACTGCAGCAGCAACACCATGGGCTTTTTTCTTCTTTTTTCTTCACAGATTAGAGATTTCTTCTGAAGTGGAATAGCAAAGTATGGGAAAGCAGCCAGGGACTGCCAGCACTACTGTGGTTGGGGGAACACCCAGACACACAGACCCACAAACAAAATGAAAGCAAAGTAGAATTATTCCTCTTCCAAAGAGGACTGATTAGTCATTTGACCTCAAATTCAAAATAATTCGCTGTTCAATTTTTCAAAGTTGCATTTGGACATATGACAAAATAGAGTGGCCTGTGGACAGCATAATGGAACAGCCCCATGTAGAGCAGCCCTCCCTCCGAGCAGACAAAGCCAGGATTGTTTGGGGCTGGGAGTGGGCATGGTAAAATTAGCAGTGTCACAATATGAGCATTTACTCACTAGACAATTCATCTCATCTAATTAAGGAGTATTAAACATCTGCTCTGCTCATGCTACTTTGTTAGACTCTTAGGCTCGGTGTTTTTGTTTTCCAAGGGAATTGCAGGCATCTGAGCTCCAACCCAACACTGTTCAACTGCCTTCTAAGCATGCCAGGTAAGTGTCCAAGGAGGCAACAAACAGGCAAGCAGTGACACTGAGATATGAACAACACCAGTTTGGCTGGGACTGGGCCACATGGCTGAGATATGAACCAGTACATTTCTACTGGCTTCCCTTTACAAAGGCTGTACTAAGACCCTCTCAGAAAAGTCAGTCAATCTGCTTTAGTCTCATTCATAAGCAAACTTCTCTCCCTTCTCTTCTCATTCTCCTTGTCTTTAACCCTTCAGATGCAGTCAAACTGGGCCAAACCGTGCCACACTTATGTAGCCAAAGCTTATCCTTCTGCTCAGCAGCTGCCTTGAATCAGAATCAAGCTCATCAAGACTCATTAAAACAGCAGCAATTCACAGAAATCATTCCTGTCTTCTAGAGCACTCCAGCCTTCTAGGTTGGGAGTGCTACAGGGAAGTCACAGAAGCACTTCTTTGTGCCACTACAGTAACAAATAGCTCCAGGGCAGCTCCGCAGGCTCTCTAAGCACTTACTGCTGCTCATCTGACACACACCACATCTGCCCAGGCTTAAGGCATGTTGCAACATGTTACCAGAGAACATACCTGCAGGTAGTAACACAACAGGCAAATTCTTAAAAAATAATAAAAGTGGGGTGGGGGGACTGCCATGCACAACACACCTTTGTAAGGCTCCTCCTGGAGCCCCCAGTCACACCCGGGCCCCCTTAGTGCACCCTTCCCAGTGGTGCAAGGCAGCTATAATTCTCCCTTCTTGCTCTAAATGTATCTTGATTCTCCAACTTTCACTGCGCCCCCACCCCGGCATTTAGGAGGCACACATTTTTGGTACATGTTAATTAACACCCCCAAACAGCTTTTGCAGACACTCAGGGGTTATTTGTTATTATCCACAGCTGATTATGTTCCTGCAGCTCCGTACAGCCTCTCGCCAGGTGCTAGGTATTGCAGAAGACACAGCTGGTGACAATTAGCTTTATTCTTCAGCCCCACATTAATCAGAAGATAGATAAGAGTCAGGCATTAAGCAGGCACTGGATTCAGCTTCCTTTGGACACAATGCTATGCAGTTAACAACACAAGTTTACCTGGTACTAGAGAGTACTTGCTCAACTGCCTCAGATGATGTTCAGAAATGGGCCTTGCAACACTTCCCTTCCGTGGAGGACGCATTAATACTGAACTGAAAATGGTACGAAATCCTTTAATAAATTAAGTTCACATGCATCTCCATTCTCTGAGATACCTGTCTCAGTCAAAGATCACAGTCCATCAGAGAGGTGCCTCTCCTCTCAGCATACACAGGCTGGGAGCCATAACTGACTCCCCATCCCAAGGCCACATTTTGTACCACTGAGTCACAGCAGGGATGAGCAGGGGACTGACACATCCCTGGATCTCCTTGTCCTTCCATTCTTACTCTCCTCCTATGAAGAGCTGCACACAGAGCTCCCAGAACCCACCTCCCTAGCTCAAGCAGACAAGCCAATTCTGAAGGCCACCACAATACTGCTGCCCTAGCTATCTACAGAGGTACCCTGAAGGTCCCAGTACCTATGAGGAATAGGACAGTGTTTGCATGCTTAGGGATTCTTCCCAAAACAGGCATCTTGTCCTTATCTATCCATTAGGGGGAAGAAAAAGAAAAAAAAGGCAAAAGAGCTTAATCTAAATGGTGCAACTACAAAACGTGTTCACTGTTCTACAAAGAAGCAAGAGGGAAGTTAAGGAGACTCCCCCAACAACAGGCTGACTCAGCTTCACCAGGGCCAGGCAGAGGTGTCCTCTCTCCCAAACTCCTCTCCCTTTTCAGAGAGAAATCCAAGCTCTGCCAGACTCATATGATAACTAAGAGCCCTGCAAGGCCCCACAGGCCAGAAACAATGTCACAGGCTCCCACGAGCGCTCTGAGCGAGGACAAAGATTTCACTGAACTAGGCACTGAACATTGCTTTACCAGTCCAGCTTGTCTACAGAAATTAAAATACTAGAGCTAGCCTGAAAACACCATAGAAAACACCACAGCCTTGAAAATACCAGAGCTTATTGCAGAGGCTCTGACAGGCTGAAGTTTGCAAGCACTACCCGACCCCTACCAGCCCAAACGGGCTCTGTTTTGCTGCAGACGAGTTTCCTATTGCACCTGGAAGGGGAACCACTACAAATCACAGCGAACTGCAAGCACCAGGCAGAAGAAAGAGATGCCAAGGAAGACTCTTGGCGCAAACACCTCTGACAGCGGTTGTGAGGAGCAGAGCCTGCAGCAGTGTGGCTGCCCCACTGACAGCCAGAGCCTCCTGCAGCGGCTCAGCATCCGGGCCTGTGTGCCCCGCAAGCGCCACTCACCGAAATATTCCTTCTTCATGTGCATCTCCAGCTCCTTCTCCAGCTCCAGCGTCAGCGCTTCCAGCCGTCGCTCCGCCTGGCTGGGGCCGCTCTCCCGGCACGGCGTCACCTGGCAGGGAAGCTTGAATTTTGGAGCCGAAGCGGAGCCTTTGGTCGGGCTGTACGAGTAGGGGGGAGCCGCGTCAGGGCCCGGCGCGGCCGGGTGCTGCTGTGGCCGCGGCGGGGG